CTATGAACAAGAACCGTCAATGGCTACCGCCAGCTCTGCCGCTCCCTCCAATCCTTTCTCTTACAACATGTACAGTGCTGCCGGAACAAAACGAGGAAAGGACATTGATGAAGAATGGAAAGACAATTGCACGCTCCGCAGCACACCTCCTCACGAACTTGAACAAAGCAGAACCCACTGGTCCCACTGTTATCACGACACCTGCCCTTTTCACCAAACTGAGATCAAGTTCGGCAACAGATACCAGCGACCGTACTATATGCCTGCTGATGATTCCAAAGACACCAGCTTCGATACCGAAGAAGGAGAAGAAGAAAGGATCGATGGAAATGAGCCAACCCAACACCCTCATGTCCTTAATCCTGCACCAACGCGATACCAAGGCCTTGAAGAACTCGAACAAGCAGCAGCCTACGTGGATGCAATGTCGTATTTACAACCCCCACAGTGAGCCCCGCCATCCTCTCCTCCCATGACCGATTCACGACCACTATATGGTGGACCCTTACGAGTATACAACAATGAAACCATTGTCTCAGTCATACCCCCTACTATTCCCGAGCATCAGCGTCAACTCTACGAAACCTTTGAGGAACAGGAAGCCCCTATCGAACCAACAAGAGGATCCCTAATCGAGGATGAACGAGATGTTAGATCAACCACAGAAGAATTAACCTCCTCTTTCCGAAGCCAAATGATAGCAGGATACCGCCATGACCCGATTTACTTCAAAGCCATGGATGCCTCCAGGCATAGAGACCTCGCCCCCTACAACATATCCAATGGAATGGTCTTTACCAGCACCCGTTATGGAGAACATTGCCTATACGTACCAAAAGGCCATATGTTCAACGGAATGACGATTAGAGAATATGTCATATCCGAGATTCACAACAAAGGACACCATAGTGCAGATCGCAACCTCCAATATGCCTCAGAATATGTCTACTGGCCTGAAATGCAAAAGGACTTCCGCGATTTTGTCAGGCAATGCGAACTCTGCCAGGCAAATAAGGAGCGAACACAACTTCCTGAAGGAAAAGCTCAGACCCTCCAACTACCATGTGAAATATTTGAATCCTATGCCATCGATTTCGCAGGACCATTCAACAAGTCCGCCGGATATGACACCATATTGGTAGCTGTGGATCGATTCTCTGGATACACCTGGTTAATACCAATGAAGGTTACTGACTCCTCCAAAGACACCTGGAATAACCTACAACGACACTTATTTACCCCCCACGGGTTCCCCTTATCTATTGTCAGTGATGCTGATCCCCGCTTTACCGCCAGATTCTGGAAGCAAACCCTAACCTCTCTCGGAATAAACCACATTATGGCTGCCCCAGGACACCATGAGACTAATGGCCAAGTAGAACGAAAAATCCGCGAGGTCTAGACGGGGATTAGGAACATGATCAATGAACGACAAACCAACTGGGAACCAGCCCTATTTGAACTAGCCGCATATATCAATGCCGGATTTTCAGATACCCTGGGAATGTCACCATATAAGGCAGTCTTTGGCCGCCAATACCCTCTCCTACCTACAACTCTATTCAAGAACTCCTCAGTCCCTGCCTCCGACCACCATCTAAACCGCCACCAAGCAATTCAGAATGATGCCTTCCAAGCTGCTAAGGCTGCCCGATTCCGAAGCACCACTACTGCCCAGAAACGACGACGCAAACATGTTCCCATCTCACCAGGAGACATGCTCATGGTACATGGTAACATGTTTATTACCAATGTCGGACGCAGCAAGAAACTACAACCCCGATGGCGAGGACCCTTCAAAGTCATATCCTTTGACGAGCATACAGAGAATTACACTGTCCAGATGGATGGATGCATGTACCGCCACAATACTGCAGTCTTCCACGCCTCAACTGTCAAACGTTTCCATCCCAATGACGACTCCAAGTTTCCTGGAAGGACCTACTCTCGGCCTGCACCTATCGTCATCGAAAAGAAGGATGAATGGGAAGTTGAAGAAATCAGAGACCATCGCCTTTGGCATGGAAATGATCAATTCCTAGTCAAATGGAAAGGATATCCGACGAGCGAAAACAGTTGGGAACCACTGGAAGGACTTGAGCACGCTATGGATATGGTGAACGGATGGTGGAAAGACAACATGCCAAATGAATCCCTCCCCCCTACAATCAATTATATCACCATGTGCTGGACACCTACAATGCCAGAAACTGAGCGATGGCACGCAGAACTCGAAACTAGAGATGGATTTTGGGCACCACACTTTGAGTCAGAGTTCGAAAGTAGCGATGAGGAGAATCAAGCTATGGGGCAGGCTCTCGACAACTTTATCTAGTCACCAATCACCATCCGAATACCATAACGATGTCAAACTATGTGGAGCTCAATGTGAGGCAGCGACAACAGGTTGTTGGACTGTTGTTGAACCGCGATGCTATCCAACTTGAAGACTACTTCGAAATCCTCTGGATTGACTACTGTCCTGATTGTGATCATGCTTGGATTGACGTACAGCACAAATCTGGTATTCGTGACTACTGTGATTTAGATTTCTTCGAGTCTAAGTGTTTCCTTAGGGTTTCCTCTTGTCCTTGGTGTGATACCTATGATGAAGAGTTTTTGGCGGAAACTGAAGCCATGAGTTTCTCGGAATCCGCCTTTGATGATTATTAGGTTTTGTTTGTTTAAACAGTTGTTTTGTTTTGGGGAATGTAACCGGTACGGGTACTTGGTTATTGGTTTTGTTTTATGTTTTGTTTTAAGTATCGTTTTGATACTTGGTTTGTTTTAAGTATCGTTTGATACTTGGTTTTGTTTTATGTTTTGTTTTAAGTATCGTTTTGATACTTGGTTTGTTTTAAGGATCGTTTGATACTTGGTTTTGGTTTATGTTTTGTTTTAAGTATCGCTTTGATACTTAAAGAGTTTTACCAAAGAGTATCAATTGATACCCTTGATTAGTTTCGTTCATGCTAGACATGAACAGATTTGTGTATTTAAAGACCGCCTGTTTCTACGATAGAAAAGGCAGACTTCGACAGACAGTATTTCAATATACTTGGTTGAACGGTTACTTCTTTGTTCCTCAGTACGCCCTCGAAGCCTCCTTTAGTTCTCAGCTCTCGCCTCCTCTCTGGAAGAGCAGGCCACCTGCCAACTATCGTATCCATTACCGATAACGTGATTAGCACCTTGCGAACACGTTACAATGTGGGAGGAAAATAGGAGCGACGGAGCGTGTCTTAGACAATGGATATATACTAATCAATTTATAGTAATTTCTCTTTTTTTCAATCTTTTATTCTTTTTACTTATTATTTTACTCACCTTATCAAAATACTTTGTCATTAATTCTCTATTATTTTCTTAAGTATTATATACAAAGTCAAGCTGGTTGCTGAATCATGATTTAACTTCAAAATGTCACCTTATAAAGTTTTGTTCCCACAATTTTCCCAATATCTCATTCAGTTTTTGCTTTCATACAGTTGAAAGAGCAATCTCCTTTCACTCCCAAATTGTTGGAGGAAATCTAAGACAGCAATAGAAATAGCATCTCTCCAACACCTGCTGTTCCTCTTCAGGTATTAACTTCTACTGCGATTCATCTTCCTCCTTACCACTTCAATATCTCTTTTTTCAATATATCATGAGTCATCAAGCACAATCAACCCTTCCAGCTGCTACTGTGAGACTTGGAGCGATATGATTTATTGTCATCTCTATTACCACTTGCTTATCTACTCATTCTGGTACTATTGGTGAATCAGCTGGTATCATTTTGAGAAAAAAGGATCAGAAAAATTAAATAAAATAGGATGATGTTTTCTTGAAGCCTCAGGTTGGAATACTTGCAAGTACTATTTACTTTCTATACTTAGTGGAGGCTATACTAGTGCTAGCATCTATCTTCTTCTTCTAAGAAGTTGCGGAGCTCCTGAACTTAAACCTTCTTCATGCTATATCTAAAACTGCACCCCTCGCTCAGGGCTCCAACTCACTGAGGGCACTCACAGTCTAGTAGTATGATAGACAGTAATGGATGTAAGGATATTAATATGATAGATAGAATCAGACTTCATTTTATCATAATGTTTTGTGATTTTATACCACAAACCTCCCAGGATTTTAAGTTTCACATTGCTATTAATCTTCAATAGACCTTGGAGTATCAAAGTTCCATTGAAATTCAAAGTACTATCAAATTAAGCTTGAATATACAGTGTTGCTATAAAGTGATATTGTGGCTCAAAGTGCCCCTGAGCCACAAAGTTGTGTTGAGCCATAAAGTTGCATTGAGCTGTCAAGTGGTGTTGAGCTGTGGGGCACTCAGTGGAGTGCCCCCCAAAAGTGAAAAAGCGAGCTTTGGGGGGTTGTGGCTGGACAGCCACAACCGTGGCACGAGTATTGCTCACCGTCTTAGCCTGCGACAAATTATGAGTTATGTTGGCAGAGGTGAGCTTCTGGGAGTTATTGGGAGAAATGACCTTTCCCGAGCCGTGCCGGGGTGGCCCAAGAAGCCCTCGGTAGATAAAGTAGTTAAAATAAATATTACGGATGCTCTATTTCAATTTAGGCCAATCGCTCCCCCTCCCCCCCTCACGAACAAAAACAACATTCACATTAAACATTAAGGTTCCCCCCCCCAAACTAAAGTACATGAAACTAACCTTAACTCCCCGTGGTCTCGGGGGAGCCGGAAACAATTTGCTCGTGCCACAGCCAGCGGGAGACCCTCAATTCAACAACACCCAACTCCTCCTTCAGCGCCTCCAACCACGGGTCCGCCTCCCCGCCCCCGTGTCCTCCCTCTGTCCCTTCCTTAAAATCTGCTCGGCTTACCGGGGATGTCTCGTTGTTTCCTGGCAGGATTTGGAGAGAAAGAAAGTATTTGGTAAGATAAGTTATCAGATGGTCGGATCGCACTTTTTGATAAGTTATAGTACTTGTATGGTAATAATATTATTATTATAATAAGATAGAGAGAGAGAGAGAGAGATAGGGGAAATTCCTGAAATTCAACGCAGCTAGGAACACGTTAGTGTACTGTACAAGTATAGTTTCATCACAAATATACATGCCTCCAGATGCTATAATACCCAACGAGGTCCAACCCTACTATCCTATTCTGTGAGATATTTTAAATCTTTTTCTTCTATGGATCTTATCCAATGTTCCAAATTTATCAGCTTCTCCTCTCTGCTCCTCCTCTCCAGCAATTCTTTGACGATACATCTATACCGGAGCCCCAACCCAAACTTAGTCAACAGCTTCCTAAGAGCAATCCTGATAGCGGCCTCGCTTCGCGACTCATCAATGGACTCATCAATGAACGGTCCCTGGAGCCCCAGCTCTAAAAGCACCAATCCAAGAGCATATAACCCACCACGCTCGTTATGTGCAGGTGAGGGCCCATTGAGAGCAGTCGATAGATAAGGCGTCCAGCTCCCGCTGTTCAGGTCGGACTCGTATCGTGTAAAGAAACGAATCTTACGGGCATCTAGGTCATATAGCAAGTGGGTGTCATTGTACTGGAGGGCCCATTGTGCCAATTTGGCTGCAAGAAGTAGCCTATCCCTATCCCCCAGTTTCATGCTAGTTTCCCCTCGAGAGTGGGATCTTAGAAGTTCGCGAAGCGTTAGGATTGGTGGGGAATTCGAGCGAGCGTTGACATTCGGAGAACCCAGTGAAGGGCAGGTAGACTTGAGGAGAAACTCGATTCGAGTAGGAGACTGATATACTAGGAGATGCTGGGAACCTACGGGTGAGGTTATGATTGTGGAGCAGCCAGTGGGATTCTCTGTGCGTGGTGGCGTGAGCGTGGGCGTCAGAGACCTCGACGCTGTGAGACCTAGGGGGTGTCTGGCGGCATATGCATCCATGCAGGTGTTCAAGTCGAGAGTGACAAAGAAAGAACAGATCGAGTCCATCGGCTTTATGGAAGAGGGATCCGCGGAAACACTGCACAATGATAGATGGGTGAAGTGGCATCGGCAACCCAATTCCCTTGAGAGCAGGTTGTAAAGGTCATTGATAACATGGTTTTGTTTAGACTTCAATTGTTCCGAATTCGCCGGCTCTCCTGGGGTGGGAAGGCTCGAGACCGTGGAAGTCTGTAAGGGGTCAGATTCGGACCCTGAAGGCTCGATCACAAGCTGTCGAACTTCGCTTATGATGCTGATTTCCTTCTCTAATATAGCAAGTAATTCCTCAAGCCTACCGGTAGACCCCCCAGGACACCTCCCCAGCCCCAGGCGCTCGAAAACCGGTTTCTCTGGCACTATGTTGGTTTGTACGGGTACTTCAGGATATCCTAGTGACAGGACTCGGAGTATTGCCATCAAACCCCACTGCCGATTTTGCTGTTACTATCATATCCATAGTTGAGCGCAGCGCCGGGAACAACTATCAACATACCAAACATGACCTGAATATCAATATAGTTTCGGATTTCGACTTGGCATCCCTTGCTCGCTCTTCCAAAATTTCCGTAATGTTTTCCAATGCCGTTTGTGCGTTTCGCATGGAATTCCGCAACCGGCCATAGGATGAACCGAGCTTAATCTTAATATCACCCTCAAGCAAACGCTCATTCCGGGTACCCGCTGCAGGCAAGAAGTATCCGAGAATTGGGATTCGTAAAATATATGGCAAAATATCTATGCGTAATACCAAGTCACGACTCGTATTTTCGGATACTTTTTGCCTACCGCGAGTACTTTTGGTGGCGCCACTGCTCCCGCGGATGCCTTGCGGAAAATCTGCCCCCCAAGCGCTGCTCCCCGGAAGGAACTTGATCTCTGATCGGAAGAGAGTTTTGGCTGTCAGAATGCGTAGCTTTAGCTTTTTTGCGGTTCGATCAAGGGTTTGGTAAGGGTCAAGGAAGGTTTCCACCCTGTTGAAGCTCTGTAGAACTGACACTGCGAGACTAATAGTACTCATGGTGGACTTTCCCATAGTTGAGGAGGGTGTGAAAATTGGCGAGATGCACCGGTAACAGACATCACGGAAAGGGTGAACTTTACGTCGATGATGCGTGTAGATTCCTAGATTTGTCATCCTAATACATCCTAATACATCCTAATACGGAAGAGGCATTCCATTGTGCCACTAATCGCATTTGTTTACCTCGTGGGGGCTCCGGTGTCAATTTGGTTTTTTTCTCAGCCTCGTGCGGGGTTGGGGAAGCGATAATGGTAGCAGAGCTCGCTCTGAAACAGCTGCTGAAAAGTGCATGCAGCAGGGGCTGACAAAAATGCTATCATACCGGTATTGGGTTCGGGTTGGCACCGATTTCTTATCCAGGGGACTAATATTTGAACAACTTTAAGAATTCAAGAAACCTAGAGGTAGACTGTAATAATCAGGCAATATATATTATAGTATATTAGGGGTCCTCAAAGTAGAATGGCAGCGTTGATTCCCTAATTTAGCTAGCCTGGGTCTGGCCAATCATGTCTAAAATCCCTCGTCAGGCTTTGGGCGCATCCTCAAAGGTCGGTGAGCGATCTCCGACCCAAACCTGAAAAATAAAAATAGTACTTGTAGTTGTGAAGTAAATTTACGAATATTCCTTGGCTTCCACATGGGGAGGCGATCATGATAGTTCATGATGCTAACTAACTCTTTGGGGAGGAGGAAGCTTCGTTACCGGTACTCGAGTACGGTAGACTACTGTACTGTACGAGTAGAACCAGGAAACTGACCGGAGGAGTGGAAATCGTCTCCTCGTGTTCTTCAGTCGACTTGGCAGCTCTTAGCCAATCATTTCCCAGCCCGAATTGAAAGACCACTGTTGTCCTCCTGCTCGTACTCGTACTTTGAGGACCCCTATGATACCGTATTATATTACTTGTATCCCCGCGGTGCTATGATGGTACTCGAGTAGTTCCGACCACAAGGAACTTCATGATGTTCTGCTCTTTCATTTACTCGCCCTTAACACCCTGCAATATACCGCGCCAGCGCTGTTAATAGCTCGAGATTCCTTAGGGTATCACCACGCCGGTTCAGCGCCATTCGGGCGGGAGATCAGTGGTTCATGAACTGGAAAAATGAACTGAGGCACTAGTACCGGCGCTGGAGGTGATTTGCAAATTGGTTTGGTGGTTCAGAGATGACCGTGCCAAAGTTAGTCGGCACAGGGTCTGGCTATAATTGCTGGTAGAAAGGTGCAAGCACTAGCATTAAAAGCTCTTCGGGCTACGGTATCATACTCGAGTACTCGTACTGTACGAGTAATAGCATCCTGCGCTCCGGGCAGGGCATCACCACGTACTACGATGAACCCCTTCAAATCGTAGTACACATCCCAGCACTGAACCGGCGTGTGACCCCTTGCCATCAGTAGTCCAACTTGAACACCGCACATAGGGCACTCGTGCGCACCACCCCGCCCTGTCATGCGAAACGACTCTTTGCTACATTTCTCTGTGAAAGCATATTTCTTCCTTTCTCGACACAGAATTGGGCTCGTCCCATTCGTTACCCAATACAACAGCTAGTATGAGTACGAGTAGCGAATCCGACCTAAGCGATCATGACACTTCTGGCGCGTTGGATGATTATACCAACACTTCCACTGATAGAAAGGACATTCTTTCATGGCTCTCCACACTAGAGCCACAGAGACAGCATTCCCATGTCTCCCACTCCCGCCTTAAAGGTGTGGGAGATTGGTTTCTAGAATCTGCTGAATTCCAGTCGTGGCGCGACGATGATAGTGAATCTGTTGCTCGGATCCTATTCTGCCAGGGTGTCCCAGGGGCAGGAAAGACTTTTATCAGGTATTATTTAGATATTCCAAGACGTCAAGCGAATGCGTTATCACCTCTAATCAGTAAATTAGTTCCTTGGCTATCGACAACTTAAGCGATATCAATGATCCTGCTAGAGCAAATATTGGAGTGAGCTACGTATATAACAGTTACCAGGATCAGAAATATCAAGATCCGACTGGTATGATGGGTAGTCTGCTGAAGCAATTAGTGGCTGGGCTGCCAGATGTGCCAGAAGATGTTACGCGGGCCTTCCGGAAAGCAGAGGATGGTGTCCAAGAGAAGGATTCGCTGCTTCCGATCATCCTTAACTTATTTCCCAGTGTCATAACAAATTTTCGCCAAGTTTTCGTGTTCGTTGATGCCTTGGACGAATTCACGGTGGATACTAGGTTCGAATTATCCCGCTTGCTTCATCAAGTTATGCGAGATTCACCGAACACGCGATTATTCCTGACAGGGCGATCCCATATTCAGCCTGAGCTAGACAAGCACTTTTTAATACCTATAGTTTCTATAACCATACAACCAACCCCAGATGATATCGAGATATTTTCCAGTTGGAAGCTAGACCAGGATCTGGTGCCAGATCACATGGATGATGGGTTGAGGTCGGAGATCACGACAGAAATCCTTAAGCTCCCGAAGATGTGAGTATGGTGCCGGTGTGTTACGGTTCTGCTCAAGCGGCTGGCTGATAAATTCAAAGTTTTCTTCTCGCAACTCTTCATATCGATGCAATTTTGGGAGGGACGACGGTGATCCAGCGGAGAGAAATGCTGCATCGTATGCCAGCTGGGCTGGACGATGCTTACGGGCTAGCTCTGGAAAGAATTAGCAAGCAAAGAGCGGACAAGGCGCATCTCGGGATTGCGGTATTGATGTGGATTTTCTTCGCGGAGAGACCATTGCATGTTGATGAGCTGTGCCATGCCCTATCTGTGGAAATAGGAGCCACCAGTCTTAACCCCGATAATATCCCCCCCATACAGACATTGTTAGACTGCTGTTTTGGGCTTATCACGGTCGATCAGGAAATGTCTGTTATCCGTATGAAACATGTCACATTGAAGGAATACCTGTCCAATCATCCCGAGATCTTTGAGAACGCCCACTCAAAAATTGCGGAGATATGCCTCACTTACCTCAACTTTGGACAGACTAAGAATTTGTTGACTGCCCTCTCTACCCCTCCATCGACGGCCCCATTCCTCCGGTACGCTTCTAGTTACTGGGGGGCTCACGCAAAAAGGGAAACCACAGAAAGTGTGAAATCGCTTGCACTTCAACTGCTCGGTCTATATCCAAATCATATATCCGCCACTATTTTCTTGCACGATAGTGGATACTGTCCAGAGGAGGAGGTTGAGGCTATTGCTAGAGCGGTTACCGGACTCCATTGTGCCGCATTCTTCGGACTTTCTGAGATTGCAATTGAGCTGCTCGGTATGGAAAGTATCTCTACGAACCCCAGAGACGGTATGGGTTGCACACCCCTAGTTTGGGCTGCTCGCAGAGGGTATGAGGAGGTGGTACAAGTGTTACTGGATTCGCCGGATACTGATGCTGACTCCATGGGGAGCGACCGCCGAACACCGCTTTATTGGGCTGCTACGAATGGACACAAGGGAATAGTAAGAATGCTGCTGGAGCATAGTGGTGTCAACCCCGATTCCCCGGCAGTTGATGACCGAACACCATTATTTAGTGCCGTAATAAGAGGGCATGGGAGTGTAGTAAAGCTATTGCTTAAGCGGGTGGATGTCGATCCCGAAGTCAAGGGATCTGATGGCCTGACGCCGCTGTTATGTGCCACCGTAAAAGGATATAGGGGAATAGTGGAGCTGTTGCTAAATCGCAAGGATGTCAGCCCTAACCCACCCGACCATTTTGGCCGAACGCCATTGTCCTGGGCATCCGGCAGTGGGCGAGAGGGAATAGTGGAAGCCCTGTTAGCCCGCCAAGATATCGATCCCAACCTGGCAGACAATGATAGACGAACACCGCTTTATTGGGCTGCTGCGAATGGGCATGAGGGAATAGTAAAAAGGTTGCTGGAGCGTAATGAGGTCAGCCCTGATGTCCCAGCGATTGATCACCGAACACCACTATTATGTGCCGCCGCAGGAGGATATGAGGGAATAGTGGAGCTGTTGCTAGAACACAAGGGTGTCAGCCCTAACCCACCTGATCGTTTTGGCCGAACACCATTGTCCTGGGCATCTGGCACCGGGCAAGAGGGAATAGTGAAAGCCATGCTAGCCTGCAAAACTATCAATTCCACCCTGGCAGACAATGATAGTCGAACACCACTCTCTTGGGCTGCTGGCAATGGACATAGGGGGGTGGTGAAGCTCCTGCAATGCCACGACGCTGATGCTGCTAGCGAAGCGGACAACGATAACCGAACACCATTCTCATGGGCTGCGGGTAATGGACATCAGGCGGTGATGGAATTGCTGTTGGAGTGGGAGAATGTCGACCCCAGGGTGCAGGATTATCATGGCCGAACACCGCTATCTTGGGCTGCCGGCAGTGGACATAAGTCAGCAGTGGAAACCCTGCTCTCCCAGCAGGATATGGATCCCAATCAAGGAGATCGAGAAGGCCAAACGCCGCTCTTTTGGGCTACTCTGGGGGGGTGGGCGGTGACGGTCAAGGAGCTTCTGGGTTGTGCCGATGTTAATCCGAACTTCAGGAATACAAAGCGTCAAACACCGCTCTCTTGGGCTGCTAAGCATGGCTATAGCGCAGTAGTTGAGCTACTATTGAACAGGGAAGATACCGATCCTAACTCGCTGGATGAGGATGGTCGAGCTCCGCTGGATAAGGATGGCCGAACCCCGCTTTCTTGGGCTGCCGAGAATGGGCACGAAGAGGTGGTGAAACGATTAATAACTCATAAGGGTATTAATCTCAACATATGTGACAACAACGATCAAACACCACTGTTCTGGGCAGTTCGGTGCGGGCGGGAAGAGGTAGTGAAGTTGTTGCTAGGCCAACAAAGGCTGTCAGTCAACATAGCAGATGACCGTTGCCGTACGCCGCTTTTCTGGGCTGTCCAGCACGGGCACGCAGGACTGGCGGGGTTGTTGCTCGATCGACTGGATACTGACCCCAACTTCCAGGACGAACATTACCATACACCACTTTTCTGGGCTGCTGAGAGTGGGAACGAAGAGCTATCGAAAC